CAGTTGGCCTCTCGTGAGAAATTAAGTACATTGTAAGGTAACTACTAGCTAATACAAGGACACTTTGTATTAATGTAACTTTGGCTGTTTAACGGTCGTTAGTATTACTGGCTATCTGAAATGATTGTTATGGGACAGGTGTATCAAAACCATATCATGTACTGTAACTGAATGTTTGTTATACAAAACATTAACAGCCGGATTAATTAGTACGTGTAGGGCGTATGAATTGTACCTGCTGCCCCCATTGCATGATCGTAGGAGGCGACTAAATTTGGGATATTATATTTTCTCTTCTTTCTAAATAACGTTCTTTTTCCTAATGTCTCCCTTGACAATGCCACACTTTGGCCTTTAGTTGAGCGTTCGCCCCTATGAGGAAGGCTTTGGGTTCTGTCCTCTGGCCGAGGCATACCAGAGCCGGCTTAACGCTCAGCAATTTAGGAGTAGGACGACTGGTTCGCCCGTTATCAGTATAATGTGACCGGGTGGGGTGTCCTGCTGGGTGTCTTCGGCAGTATGTTTCAGTGAGGTAGCACTATAAAGTCGGCATCAGTTCCGCGCTATCACAAGGAGACAAACACGAACATATCGCAGCCTCCCAAAACACACACGCAACACTACACGCATGCATCTTACACACAGGGGAGGCCGTACTTAAATGATCATAGCTGTTGATAGGGCGTTAAACAATACTAAACCAAACCAAACTAAATCAAACCAAATATAAAAAAATAAAACGTTTACAGTAAATGCTGTACTCTAAGAAGTGAGTTGTCAAAGAAGACTTTGAATCAACCTTCGTATTCTATACAGCTGCTGATTTCAGCAACTTACACAAGAACAATGTGTGCAAGACTTGTTTTCAAAAAATACAAAAGTTTCAATGCTTTAGAATTTTTAGTTTATTCTTTCATGGAAAAAAGAAATTACATCAAAATATCTTTATAGATTTTTAACCATTGAAATTAAGATAGTTTCATTTGTAAACTGTTAGTTCTGAAGACAATATACAAAAAAATAGTTATTTAGATAAAAATATCTGGATAAGCGTGTGTTCAGCAAGCATTATTAAATGTTCCACAATGTAGAAACAGTACATGTTTATAAATAATAGAAAGAAGAGAGTCCCAGTTCCTCGTCATTGTCCTCGGTGAAATAGTGTTTAGAGTTGACTCTGTTAACTGTGTAGAAAATCTAAGTCTGTTCGTCTTGTGCCGTAGCGTAGTACTATACTAGTTGTTTTTACGACACTAACCACCTCCCCGACAACACATTTTCAAAAGACCTTAGTTGTTGATAGGACGTTCACCCCTGTACAACCAAACAAACAACCTCCCAGACAAACAATCCATTAAATTACACATTGTAATACTACCCTAACATTTGGGTCCAGTGTAAGACATGTTGTAAAAGTTTGTAGAAATCCTTTCAGTACATAGCGATGATTTGTTCGATTGTTACATCTAAACTTCAATCTAAAGAGTAATATCAAACGGACTGAACGGAGTTGTTTTACATGAAATATGTATTCCGATGTAAACACAAATTGATAACATTCATATTACACGACCATTAATAAAAACTATTTAGAACATGTACTTGAATGAGAAACTTTTTCATTTAGTGTTTTAAATATATAATTTTTCCTAATATTTTCCATATTGCAGTGTCTTTAATCGTAGGTACAGACGATATTCCTGGAACAGCAAAAATAAATACTTCTTGTGGTGGCTGCACTTTATCTAAGGCGAGAGAAGAAGCTTCAACTGATACCATTGCATTCACAGCCCAATTATACGCAATGTGAATATAGGGACTTGTGTAGTTGAAATGTCCATCTATATTTGTATATAAATAATCGATATCTACATGTAGATTGCATTTATATCAGCGCCAAGGTTCGCTGGGATTCTCTATCTACATCCGTGTCTTTCAGACAGGCAGCCGAATGAAAAGCGCTACAACAAGAACGAAAATAAGAAAATATATTTATCATGTGGCACGAGTCACTCATACAATAACTGACTACCTTTGTCAGGTTAACCAACATTCTGGAAACGATAGACGATCAATAAAAACTGGTATTTAAATAACAAGTAAATATATAGATATCTTTAAGATGCATGCAACGTCAAGTAAACGCCGTTTGTGTACGCTTCTGCACTACTTAAACACAATTTATGTAGGGTATTTGCATGTTTACGTGTTGTGTATTGATCAAAAAGCCGTTATAACGTGATTACAACTGAAACGGAGACTGTAACAGAACAAAGGACTATGTATATTTTGGTCCTTTCTTGGCGCACTCTTGAGCAAAATTTATATTTCTTCTAAAGATGTATTACAGGTGCCTACACATTGTCCTTTGATTTTGAGTTTGTTCAATCATGCGCTCTACAGTTTCCAGGAGAAAAACTATACAAAATATGACAAAATTCACTGAATATTCATTTTTTTCTAATTTATGCAAATTTGAACTTGCAACAATAATTAGAACTACAAATACATATTTTCATGATAGTTTTTAGGAAGTATTTAAAATAAAAGAGACAGTCATTTCAAAGTTCATTTAAAGGTTTTGAATTTTGATGCATTTGGGGGCCAAAACACGGCCAAACCATACATAGTCCTATAACAGAAATAGAGCATACCACGATCCCGGCTCGGATTTGAACCTGCTCTACAGTTAGATATCTGGTTAATGAAGTCCGCAACACACATTTAATCGACCACATTTTATTTTAGTACTGATTAAATATTGCCAACTGATTTAAGCAGTATGAGACCAGAAAAGAGATGACGTGCTTCCATTCAATCATAATGGTGATGACGAGTAAAGCACCAATAATGATGCAGCTTTTTTATGACGCGACGTCAATTCCGTCTTTGCGTATTGCAGAGTTATCTGCTCTTTTGAGTAGGTATTGATTGTTACGTCATGCGTTTGTGAGAGTAACGTCATCAATTTTTGAGAAAATGACGTAATTTTCCCACACAAACCAATGACTTAACAATCAATACCTGCTCACAAGAGAAGATAACTCTGCAATATGCAAAGACGGAATAAAAACCACAATCAGTAAACCATCAACGTTTTGATTGAACATTTATTACCATTTATATACTATACTCTAAAACACATAACTGATTTGAACCCTTCATTTTTTTTTCTCTCTTTCCATCACAAAGATACTCATTTATTTCAGAAGCATTTTTCATTTAAGGGTTAAATACTGCTATTAAATATCTCTCACCTGTACTTATCCGGCAATGTAACAATGTCAGTGATCAAATCTTTCAATTCAGACACAATTTTAAATTATGTTTCAATATCAGCTAACAGCATGACTGTGCTTTGTACAAACAGACCACTTATAGTTTCTAAGAATTATCTAATGACCATTTCGTTCATTTTGGTACTCATTAGAGCAAAAGAAATTCGTTTATAGAGTATTGGGAAATATATATATGAAAATACAGCAAAAACGTAAGGAAACGTGACTATACAAGTTGATAGAAGTATGTAAGTGGTTTTCTTATCTGATACCTGTACATCTTACGAGAATTAAAGCATTGGTGTGATGGTAACATAACATGGGATCAATCAATAATACACACAGCAAACATGAAACGACCACCATGAGCTTGAAAAACGGAACTACATCCTGTTTATCTGTCCATTTTTTGTTTGTATTCATATGTATATTCAACACAGTTTTGCATTCTGGTAAAAAACGGAACAGAAAAGAGTGACCTCTGATAGTCGTAGTAGCTTTACAGTTAGGACAGGGTCTTATATATGTATATGTATATGTAAAAAGAAAAAGTCTCAACAACGAGTCTTAAGTATTTTCATCTCTTCTAGGAGATTCTTCAGACTATATATATATATATCTAAAGACTTAAACCAATAGAATGCAAATCGGAGCAATTAAAAAAAATATTTACCGTGGGACGTGAACTTAGTGACTTTGTTGCATGATTGAACAGAATTACAGACGGTTTTGTCAAGGCGTGATTATACAAAATATCCTTGTCAATTTTTCAACATATTTTGTCCATCTTATTTTTCTTCAACATTTCAAAAGCACATAAATACCGTTTGTATATATACACCATATAAACCGATGTCCTGGACGCTTGTCAGTAACAAGGTATAATTTGCTTATGAAAGAGGACCAGAAAAATATGAAAATCTAAAATTCGAATAATCGGTATAAATAATGTGATAAACACAATCTTATAATGCACTTATTGAAGGAAAAAATCATCCATCTTACTATGAATTGACTAAGGATCCCCGTACCGATGTCAAAATGTGTCATAATTCATTGGAAGCTGGGTTTTTTTCTGGCATGACTGCTTCGGTCACGAGCCCGGCGTTCTACCACTAGACTACCGTCAAGACTTGAAGCAAGACAGTCAAATCATTATACTGTCACTCTAACCAAATAAAATACCTGCTCAACGGAAGTATCATGGACAATTCCAGATAAAGTTATATCCAAAACAAAATGCAGGGGAGATTATTGTATGTACAGAAATCTGCAGTGGAATTCTCTGCTGTTTTGTCTGCAATAGGACATGGACCTTTAAATAATATTTCATGAATACGATTATATAACTTATCCTCATATTTCCAAAGGCAACCTATGTTAAATGTCTTATACATATCCCGTGTTTCCTTATATATTAAAGGGACTGCTACATAAATCATTGTAATTTTTCACGTATATATAGCTAACATTTCAGTGCTATCAACATGTTTTTATTTTTTTTTATTTAATAATATGGATCAATAATCTTAAACCAGATATATGTCTAAAAATAGATATAATTATTTAGACGATTTTTTGATGTGTTATAATAACCTACGAATTAAATTTTAAAAAAAAATGGTTTGGCTTATGCAAAAACCCGTGTTTAGTTATTCAAATCTATTTGCCTTGAAACATATTACTGTATGAATGTAAAACATTCCCATCATATCGTCGTTATCATGTCCAAGTCATCCTTAATACAGGAAGTTCACAGCTCGACACGTTGATGTTGTAGTACATTCCATACACTTCGACCTCACACAAACACATATACTGGTTGAGAACATTCTTCGTGATTTTCACAAATTGTCCATATATTGGAACAGGACACGAGAAGGTGGCGAAACTGTTTATCCATCCAGCACTCCCACTTGTGGTCAGACACGTACTAAAGGGTCCAGTCGTCAATAACCCTATACCAATGCCGAGGTCCGCCGACTGTCCAGCTGAAAACAGAAGTATGAGAATATTTTGATATCACAAGTGTGTAACATAATAATCATAATAATAATATACAACATTTATATAGCGCCCTATATAATTTGTAAAATTACTCTAAAGCGTTTTACAACATAGGATTAGTTATAATTGTTAAACAAAAAGGCTTACAATCAACATTATACATTAAGCAAGAAGATGATCATCTCAAATTGCACATGTACCTGACTTCTGTGCAAAGAGCCTAAAATACAGACATGACCAGATACAAGTAAGACCACGAGCAGAATCGAACATACCCTGAAGGTAACATAATAACAGGGTTACGAAGTAAAGAAGCCAATATAAGCCAAAGAAGACCACTTTGTGAAGTCAACTAACCATAAAAAAACCTATTTTTTGTAAATCGATGAGAACGCCAAACAGAGTAACCCAGTGTGAGAAATCACATTGTACCGTGACCGAATTACAAGAATATGATGAAAGGAAGACAATATTCAAATATATTTTAAGAAGTCGATATAGAGAGCCACACAAAGTAAAGATTTATTTATAACGATGAACGTGATAGACACAGCTTATTTCATCTATAAAATTTGGTAATACATATTAAGCCATATTATATGTAGAAATACAGCAAACGGAGAAATGTGTCTATGAGACTAAAACCATGATTTAATTTAAACACCAGATGCTGACAGATCGGGATAAAAGCTCAGTATCAATGCTTCTGTAAATTATTATACAATTATGGACTTTTGTGCTGGTGAATATGATGTGATATGAACCTGAAAGAGTGATATTGACTGAGGCCGAGGTCGAATCTCAATTGGTCGATTTATGTGTGTGAAGAATTGAATGGATTTTCAAGACAAATATATGACCGACGAAGCACCAAAATCTTTCTGATGTGTTGGCGGATAAATACTTCATGGCTACATGGTGTGAAATAAGACACAAATAAATATGGGCAGGCAATGCTTGTCTAGAAATGAAATGGGCCCAATATTTTCTCGTTTAAATGAGAGCAACATGAGAAGGAATTGAAAAACCCCATTAATATGTTAATACATGTAGTAGAAATGATTATTAGAACAAGGTTATTATACAATTATGGATTCGCCTCGGTCAATATCACTCTTTCAGGTTCATATCACATCATATTTACCAGCAAAAAAGTCCATAACTGTTTTCTTATATGCTTCAACAAGAAAATAAAACAAAATAAAGCTCAAGGTTCTGATTTTTGCGCGCGAGCCTCCGTGTCAAATTTAGCCAGGTTTGTATTCAACAGTTTAGCATCGTCGCTTTCGAAGACGTCGTCTAGGTTCTTTTTCTTAAGATAAGCATGGAGGACATGCACTGCGTGTTCAATGGCCTTTTTATGTTAACAGCATCTTTATCCTTGAAAAGTTTTGGTAATTTTCAGATGTAACGGAGGAGAAACGTTCGCCCGCAGCCATCTTCTAATGTCGTCTGGCAGATCGCGTTCCGGTCTAACTGCACATGCGCTACGACAGCTTCCGGGGTATTTCCATATAGACTATATTTAGTAATCGATATTCACCGGATAACCTGTCTACATGAGTTTTTGAGGACTGGTCACGTGTACATGATCCGACAAATGTGATTGCGAGAAATTTTCATGCATATAATAAATCAGTTTAGTTGATAATAAAATAACAACATCATTCAACAACAAAGCACCAATGTCTTACACATGGTTTGACGGGCCAAGATGGCGACACTTGTGATCATGTAGGGCTGTAGTAGGTCTACCTTCCACCAGGTAGCGACACCCTTATCTACCAAGGCGCAGGAGTCGTAGGGAATGAATGGTCTGGTGTCACGTACACCATCTACAGCTCTGTCGGCTGTGTATGTCCCTAAAACCGGCATGTTAAGCGTAACCTTCTGAGACGCCGGCTTGTTCTCGGCCAGATTGCCATAAAAACCTATAATATATAAAATTATATATCAAAATTAAAAAAAAACCAAAAAAAAAACCCACTTTAAAATATAATATTGATGTTTTCGTTATATTAAACTGTAAGTAACACAAATATAAAATTATCCTATAGACTATAAATCGGGATTTTTTTGCTGCAGTTAAAATTTCGCCTTTTTCGCCCTCCGTGATGAAGACGAATTTATCATTACAGCTAATATAAGTTAACAGAATAATATGCATAGTAATTAAAAGTGAAGGCAAAATTTACACTGGCCGAAAAATTGATTGCATGGGCGATGGGCGAAAAAATGATGTACAGTAATACATGTGTAGTATTTATAGATGTTCCCCTATCGAGTGATGATAGTAGGCTTATCTAACGTAAACGAGTTATGTAAAGACACGATGTTTACCATCGTTTTAACAGTTGAAAATAAATAACTGACAGTAGGTAAATAGAGATTACACAACGAGTGGTTGTTGAATATGGTATTTATTTCACTCGAGTTAGTTAATTTTCAAAAGTTACAAAAGACTTTACGAGTGTCTTTCTGTAACTTTTGAAAATTAACTAACGAAAGTGAAATAAATACCATACTCAACACCCACGAGTCGTGTGATCTGTTTCTACCACAATCTCATGTTCAGTCGGATATAACACACACACATGTGTTTGTTGACAAGGCTGGCGTAGTGATATGACCCATATGTAAAAAGTCACTCATAAATATTCAAAAATGACCTTTTTTTACAAACTTAATTATTGTCAAAATTAATGTTTCGGCAACAACTTCGTGAAAAAATAAAATAGATGAACGACTTTAAATATTGAGAGTAGCAGTATTGCATTAATTTATATAAATCAACCACGGACTATATGCGCGTAAGCATATCGTACGAAGTCTGCCTCCCGCCAAGTGATGAACGTTGTAGACGAACTTATCGCTGTCAATATCCAAAACCATAGGCCTACGTTTCTAGGCCTTCGTTTCTTCGGGACGGTTCTATGGTTGACGTTTATAGTGAAAGTTAAGCCATAGTCAGACCGTCTAAATAGCGATAACGGGACGTTGGGAGAACGAAATATTTCCCGACACTGTGACAGATCTTGTTTTGGTTTCACGACCTGGATACGCGACGGTGTGACGTCGAAACGATATCGAGCGTCTGTAGAAATTTTGCATGAAACCAGCGATCAAATCTTTAAGTATCATCTTTTAATATTGCCTTACTAACCCCCCTTTCCGCATAACCTCACAAAGTCACCAACATTTGTCGGATGTTGACAGCCGACGACGTAAACAAAACAGCAGGTGGCAAAAAGCACGTGGAAAAAGTCTTCCAGGTCAAAGTTCATCTTCTCGACCAATCAAATCTCTTGAAGGTCATGTACCACGTGTGGTATATAACTCATATTTATCTAACAGTCTGCGTGTTTATACAATGATCTGAGAGTGGAATAACACAGCGTATTGTGGTAGAAACACATAAACATGATGATTAGCCATCACGTGTTAGGGGCTAAGTTCAAGGAAGTACGTTAACTTTTACAATAGGATGAAAAGACATCACAATTTAGGCATATTTGGGCATTGGATTACCTGAATATATGAATGTGTATACTACAATATTCATAATACAATTAAAGGGTCTTTAGAGTAACTTGAATGCTTCCATATACTGTGAAATCAGATATTTTCATGGAGCCCAGATTTCGCGATTTTCCACAAAAACATTATTTCGTTGAGTCATGAATTCGTGGATTGCAAGTACCTGTTCAAACGGAGAATTGCTTAATATACAACTTGTAATTACTTCACTGTACCTACGAATCAACAAAATTATAAACCCACACAAAGTAGTGGTTTTAAAGTATATAAAAACGACCTTTCATACATGATGTCTTACCCTTTGATTCAAAGTACATAATGTGGGGTTGAGGAATTGACATCATTGTTACGTGGGCCCTGTTGGAGTACGCATAGCATGTTGATTGTCCGAATGAAAATGATACACATCCGGAAGTGGAGCTGCATGCGAGCGCACATTGAAAAAAGTCAACATCTGTTTGTGTCCAAATGATATCCTGTAATGGCAATGTGTTTTCAAATCTGCTATCCGCGTGAAAATAGAACTCCACGAATTCTGAAAGACAAACATAATCAGTGTAAATTGCAATCAAGACTACATATTCATGGTATATATATAATTCTAGTGAAAATAATTTTAAAGTTGAAAATAATAATTTAAATAATCACATCATTATCACATCAGTAACAAAAAGTAATTGATATATCGGCGCTAACGTGTGATAAATTTGTTCTAATAATTATTTCTACTACATGTATTAACATATTAACTTCTCATGTTGCTCTCAGTTAAACGAGAAAATATCGGGCCCATTTCATTTCTAGACAAGCATTGCCTGCCCATATTTATTTGTGTCTTAAATCACACCATGTAGCCATGAAGTATTTATCCGCAAACACATCAAAAAGATTTTGGTGCTTCGTAGGTCATATATTTGTCTTGAAAATCCATTCAATTCTTCACACAAATAAATCGACCAATTGAGATTCAACCTTTTAATAATATTTGTAAGATGGTATTTATCAAAAGAAGTTAAGGAATAGGAATATAAATCATAAAAAATTGATATTTTCAATTTTTCTGGGAATGATTTAGATACAAAAATTAAGTTGTTTTATTTGACAACCAAAAAGCATTTGTTTGATTAAAAGTAACTGTATGTTTTGTTTTTTATTTAGTTTCCTTTTGTCTTTTTCTTGTTTTTTATTTGTTTTTACTTTAAATTCCAAAGCTACCTTAAATGTACGCGAATTGAAGAGAAAAAACAATCTAAACCAGTAAACCACAGCATCAGCATACAACAACTTCATTGTAATGTGTGTTTCTAGCAGTACCGTAAGATTTACATGTTACATGACTTACCTGAATTTGTGAATCGTAAAAAGATGAAAATGCACCAAATCATCTTTCTCTTCTCCATTTGGTCAGATTGTCGATGGAGCGTAAGTAATACTGGTTGACCTGCTAACTGTAACGAACATCCGAAATATTCGTGTCATATCTTGTTGTAACTAGGTGTCGGTCTTGATTCCTTTCGTTTTTGTACACCTTTCCAACAATCGATGTTCTATTTGCATAACTGAGTTAATTCATACTTGTGAACACTCATTCAGAAGATATTCACCAGGTTATAGACAGCTTACAAAGAAAAATCTTATCGATTTATTTTTGATTTAATGATTGCTAAAATCTTCAGGATCCAATAACGTGCCATGAGCATTTAGGAATGAAAAAGAGTAAATTATATGTAAAATTTGAGTTGTCAATCTGTCAGATGAATAACAAACATAGAATGAGGATTGTCGCCAAGCTGTACTAAGGGAAACGTTATGACGATATCGTAAATCTGACATGTTGGTAACCTTTGCTGGAATGTCGTCAATCCGACATGTGGGTAAGCTATGCTGGAATGTCGTCAATCTGACATGTGGGTAACCTATGCTGGAATGTCGTCAATTTGACATGTGGGTAACCTATGGTGGAATGTCGTCAATTTGACATAAGGGTAACTTATGGTGGAATGTCGTCACTCTTACATGAGGGTAACTTATAGTGAAATGTCATCAATCTTAATAATGGGCGACCGAATGTCGTCAATTTATAAAATGAGTATCCGAATGAGAAAAATCGTCAAACTGACTTTGGGTGACTAAATAATTGATTTCGTCAAACTGATATATTGGTAATAGTTGTAGATAAAAAAAATAATCACAAAAGTAGGTTATTAAAGGGGAGGTGGTGGTGGTGGTGGTGGTGGTGGTGGAGGGGGGGGGGGGACATAAGAGTAGATATTTTTAGAGGAATACTTATGGGATATCTCGTCAAAATTGAATACGGGTAACTACAGTGATATCGTCAAACGGACATGTAGGTAACGTTAAGGCAGATATATTTTTGTGTGCATCTTAGGAATGATATCGTCAAAATTGAATACGGGTAAGTGAAGTGATATCGTCAAACTGACATGACGGTAACATACGGAAGGAAATTAGGAGCAGAACTATTGGCTAGTAGAAGAAAGGTATCGTTAAACTGACATTTGGTAATAAGAGATATCTCCAAAATGACATGAACATTGTGTATGGAATGAGATATGTGGAAACGTACGGTAACCTATTTATAAGCGACCCCAATCTAGTTGTATTTTATACATGCGTAAGGAACACCTTCTCATGAATAGACCATAACAAGCATCAATGGGTTATTTGCATAAATAAATGTGTGAATAAAGGAGAAATATTTATTATCGATTGACACTTGGTACCGCTGACAGAGTGACAAGATTTTGAATTTTGTGCTATACATGCAAATCCACTCTGAAATCGATTAAAAATAGGTCTACAGTCCATAACGTTGTTTCTGACTTCTGAAAGATTTACGAGTTCACATTTAAATGAAAGATTATTTAACAGCAACCCGCGAACATGTACACCTAAGCGATCTGTGAAACACTAAATAATCGATGTAGGTGATTGCTTATAAAGATAATACACATGGTCAGGAATTTGTACAGCGTACATTATTTATTGAATTAAGGCTGACAGTATATACAGTGTTTGCATTACAATATTGTTTAGAACTCTCCTTTACTATTTTTTATTTATATATTTATTTAGTTATATTTTTGGTTTCTGCTGTTTCTTGGGTTGTTTTTTTTCAATTTCGGATATTAATATGGAAATCAAATATAAGAAGAAATGTGTTACTTCTTGCAGATGTGATTGATGCATTTGAAATATTTCTAAACATATATACTTGAGTTCTTATATTTTGATACCCACACATATAGTATTTCTATCGTTTTGGAATATTGAACGAAAAGATGATCAACTTCAATAGTAGTATTATTGCATGATAATGTCATTTAATCCTCCTCACCACTTGAAGTGATTGCGTTCAAGCATTCATGTCTCGCTTCCATCAGAACAGTAAATGTATACGTCATCTAAATATCTGCCGAGTGTTCTGCATCACCTGAGATATTTTATATATTTTTCAGACTTAGGCACGTTTAATGTGTTTTTACGCCTGAGACTTAAGTGACACAGCGTGAAGTCAACCTATTTCTTTTCATCAAATAAGACCGGCTTAGGGTAAGTTCAAGCTAGGAACCATTCATATGTAACGTTTATCAATTATAATTGAAAACCTTTCAGACATGATTCGAAAATATTATCCGCCATTTTTGTTTCCATTATTTACATATAGCTGTCCGATTAGATGTGGGAAACTTAGCTTATTATGAAAAAAGATTTATAGTTAATGTATTGTACAAATGTATGTATAGACAAGAAGTGTGGCTTTATATAACACTAAGTTAAAAACCATCAATAATTTGATTCAGAGCACTTTCTCTCAAGTTTATGAAAATATATTCCGCCATTTCTGTTTATAAAATTTCTTTTCTGGTCTAAAAGTAGCAATACGGCAATATAAGTAGCTGCTGGAACTGTTGCTTACAGCTTGTGATTAGTCGTAAATATTTCCACCTGCCCACCACAGATATGCACGTATAGTAAGATCAACACACGACTCAGTTTGAGGCTATCGTTAGGTCAACGCCCAAAAATGTCAAAACGAGGTATGTGTGATTATCTCTTCGCGGTATCGCTGATGCTCAATTCTGTAGTTGTTTGTATGTGCGTAAGCAAGATTCAAATTTGCCGACACATCTGGCGTCATTTGTTGCAGACACACATTCAACTCTTGCAATCGTATCCAATCATTCAGTCAAGATATTTTAATACTTATCTACAAACTCAGAAACTATATTTTATGACGTAATCAGATAAACAAGTCTTGCTCTTCGTCTCAAAAAGCTGGGACAGACAGCTCTGAATCTCCACTAATAAGCAACTAGAAACATGGCTTTTCTCGAAATGTGATAAACAGAAAATTCAATGGTTTCCAATTGAATATCAATAATTTCACACGTCTTGCAGGCATGTTTAAATATTATTTGATTTCAAGGGGAAAATCAAAGCACATACCTTTATTCATCTCAATGGTTCTAAACATAAAATATCATTTTTTAATAAGAGCGGAGTGTAATTTTACGGATCGGTTGTCGGGGAGGTTTGTTGGTTGTACAGGGGTTAACATTTTATCAATAGCTGGGGTCAATTAAAAGTATGACGGAAAGGTGGCAGGTGTGGTAAAAACACTAATGAAAGTACCACGCTACGGAACAGGACGAACATACTTAGATTTTCTACACGGTAAAATACAGAGCCAGCTGAAAATACTCTATCACCGAGGACAATGGCGAGGTACTGGTACTTTTTTCTTACTTTTCTTTACACACACGCTTATCCATATAAACATATATATATATAAATCCGCCTGAAGAAGCAGAAAAGCCTAGCGGACGATCTGAAAAACTTGTTTTTATTTTATCTTATTCAATATATATATATATATATTTGAATGACCATTTTTGTGTATTGTCTTTTTGTACGTACATTTAAGAAATGAAATTATCTTAATTTCAATGTTAAAATATATAAAGATGTAATAATTTTCCTTTGCATGAAAGAATTAACTAAACGGTTGAAAACAATAGTGCTTTTGTATTTTATGAAAACAAGACAGCAGCTGCTTAAAATACAATGGTTGAAAGACATTCTCGACAACTCGCTTCTTAGAGTATAACATTTACTGTAAAAGTCCTTATTTAAGCTCACTTAAATTTTAACGCATGATAATATTTTAACAGATTGATTATTTGGTGCACCCGCAAAATATGCAAAAGATAACAATATACAAAAAACCTCAACTAGCACAATACTATTTTAGCGAAATAAGTAAAGCGCAAAAGGTGCTACAGTAAGAAATGTACTAAAACAACATTTAATCCGGCTGCTTATATCCTGTGTAATAAAATAAAATTCAGTTACAATACTTGAGATGTTTTTGATACACCTGGTCCATAACAAACATTTCAGATAGCCTGTTATAATAACGAGCGTTAAACAGCCAAAGTTACTTTAACACAAAGTGTCCTTGTATTAGTTTGTAGCTACGTGTACCTTACTTAAATATCACGGGAGGCCAACTGTATAACATCCGCGGAATTAGGGTAGATAGCGTTAACTCATGCCTAAACCTTAAGTTTGTTTCGCACTCTAAATTAGTTGACAATAATCGCAAACGTGCAAAAACATGTGTTTTGTTAACCCATTCACCAATGAAGTCACATTTGAACCAGACTTGGCAAGTCCAGTGTAAAAATATAGGGATGAATGAGTTAAGAGAAGTCGTTTTGATCTCCATACTTGTAAAGTAATTTATGGTATTGAAAAGCTACGACATAGAACGAACAGACGCAGATTGCCCACGCATAAGCAAACAAAACCAGACGGAAATATTACTTCATCAAGGACAGTGGGCAACTAAGTTTATTATCTTTATGACTGTATCCATAAATGTTATTTGTAGACTTTACCAATTACTTTTTTGATAGCTCTCACATTTCGATTATCACAGTCATTATAATTTATCTTTTATGTAAAAGCTGTTCATATGTGAGTGTAACGTAACTGAAGTTTTTAATATATTTAAAATACAACACTAAAACGGGGTAAAGCGTACATCATAATTTCGTTTATTCTTTACTCCATTATATTATAAACAGGTCAAAGGACAATAAAAGCCCCTTTCCCCCATCTACAAGTGTACGTAGACTGTTATTTATGATGGAATGTAATTGTGCTGTTCAGTTGTCAAATAGGTGGCGGGTATCGAAAAGACATGAGCTACGGTACAGGACGAACTGACCTAAACTAGAGATAACTACACCGAAGAAAAATGACAAGGGATATTTTTTTACATTAATATTCTGTATATATTGTATTTGTGGATACCTGAGTGTGTCGTCAGCTTTGTTTTTACTTTTGCACATGACATAATCTGTTAGGTTCG